TCAATTAAAATAAATTTAATTAGTCGTTCTTTTATCTATGATATAGAATAAGTTATTAAATAAATTTGTAACAGAAAAATTAGAATATCAGATGACAATATTATTACATTTTATTAAATTATTAATATCGGCAACTACTTAAGTTTAAAAATATAAAAAATAACTTTAATTTTTTTTATCATTCACTCGGCTGACATTTTTTTAAAATGGTGTCCTGAATTGCTTGTGCTTAGTACAATACGTATTAGCTTGTTTTAATATAATAAATTAATAGAAAATTATTTATTGATTTATAATACATTTTTTGCAAAGTAATTTAAAATTATTGAAATTTACTACATTTTATATTCAGTTATTGATGATTTAACAACGTGTATCAGTAACTGAAACATCTTCAGTTACAGACAGAACTACTTTCATCAATAATATGTTCGTGTAACATTGCTGTAAAATAAAATTTGTATATTATAAACATGTACTTAATTTGCATTAGTAATGAAAAAAAAATGTATTCAATTTTAAGTTTACATTTATAATATTGCAAAGTATTAATTTATCAGACTCACTATAAATCTATTTTTGCACTTTTGAAAATTGTTTTAAAAAAATAAGAACAATAACTATTGTNAAGAATATTACTGAATAATTTATTTACTGACTTACTCTATACATTTTATTAAATTATTAATATCGGCAACTACTTAAGTTTAAAAATATAAAAAATAACTTTAATTTTTTTTATCATTCACTCGGCTGACATTTTTTTAAAATGGTGTCCTGAATTGCTTGTGCTTAGTACAATACGTATTAGCTTGTTTTAATATAATAAATTAATAGAAAATTATTTATTGATTTATAATACATTTTTTGCAAAGTAATTTAAAATTATTGAAATTTACTACATTTTATATTCAGTTATTGATGATTTAACAACGTGTATCAGTAACTGAAACATCTTCAGTTACAGACAGAACTACTTTCATCAATAATATGTTCGTGTAACATTGCTGTAAAATAAAATTTGTATATTATAAACATGTACTTAATTTGCATTAGTAATGAAAAAAAAATGTATTCAATTTTAAGTTTACATTTATAATATTGCAAAGTATTAATTTATCAGACTCACTATAAATCTATTTTTGCACTTTTGAAAATTGTTTTAAAAAAATAAGAACAATAACTATTGTACTATAAATTAACTTATCTTATAAATTATTCTTAGTTTATAATAATAAAATTGTTACATAAATATGATAAAAATCATATTTTAGTTTAATTATATTAAGATTTATTCTTTAATTTATTTCATAAATATGTTAGAATTTGAGAGCTTAAATAGTAACCTGCGACAAAAATTTATATTTGTAAAATTATATAATAAAAATTATTAATATTTTATTTTTAAAAATATTTGAAGTAATATAATTAAATAATTAAAATGATTTTTTAAAATAAATTATTTGAAAAAAATATATTTTTTCTTCCTGTATATTTTGTTAAGTGGATGAATAAAAAAGGGAAAATATTGTTGAAATTATAGCTTTGTTTCTGAAATAAAGTTAAGTAGAAAAATCAGAAAATATCGAAAATCCAATCAAAATTATCTGGTGCTAAATTGATGGAAATGCAATTTAATCATAGAGCTAAATGAATAAAGTAAGCACAGTTAAAAGCATTAAGGTTTACAAGACTGTAAAACTTGTAAAAGAAAAACAAAGATAAGTTTCTTTTAAAACAAAAAAGGATAGTATCTGAGAGAAGTTAAATAAAATCATTGATCCGAAAAGTTTATGATTATAAGAGATGAGACAAGAACAAAAACAAGAAGAAAAATGTTGGAAAAGATGAAGATAGATAACAAGTAAACAGAAATTAAATTTCTGACTATTTGATACAATTATTTTTATAAAGGAATTATATAATAATGAGGTCTACAAGTTTATAAAGAATCCATGAATTTTTGGAGATGTTTTCGATAATTATTCTACTCATTTATTTCATATATTTATTTAAAAATATGCATTTGCTTGAGATAATAGATCAAACAATGAATGAAGAATAAATCAAAATATATAATTCCGAGTACTAATGGATCACTATTTATTTTGTAAATGTTTTGGAATAACCTTAAATTGAATTTAGTCTTCTTTTCTATAAAGTTAAACAGCAATTCATTATTCATTTTTAACATTTAATTATAGTTATTTGAAAATATATCTTATTTATTACTTTCACTTCGTTTTTTTGGCAAAAAAATTAATTAAATTTAACACTTTAAGCTTTAGAATTTGTAATTAATTGATATTTAAATATCTAAATATTTCGAATTAAAGATTTAAATACTATTTAGCTGCAGAATTTTTAAATTGGCCTTAAATTAAACTTCCATACTTTTATAATATCACTCTTTTTCCTAAAGTTTTATATTCGACATTTGAATCATTTCTAATTATAAATTAATGGAATTTTGCTGTCATTATTTGAGTATTTCATTCCAAACGAATCCTGTTTAATAAACATGATAAGAACTAGCCTGATTTTCCTCAATTTAAGCGGAAAACCGCAATCATCACGATCAGAACACCATTCTGAAATTGCGTGTTTTATATATGTTAAGGACAATGGTTGTGAACAAAAGAACGATCAGAGAGTGTCCAGGTTTAGGTGACTGTCACGGAAAGAGATCCTTTTTCAAAGAAGAATTTGGGTGAAAGACCTACCCAAGTCATATCCGGTCGGTTAGCAGAGGGTGTGACCAAAATCCTGAAANAACTAAAATAGTAACTGAAGGTGATTTATTAAACTAATATTAGAAGAAACTACGTTAGATGGGATAAAGCTGGATGTTCATACAGGATATGAACGTCTTCCTGTATATTTTGTTAAGTGGATGAATAAAAAAGGGAAAATATTGTTGAAATTATAGCTTTGTTTCTGAAATAAAGTTAAGTAGAAAAATCAGAAAATATCGAAAATCCAATCAAAATTATCTGGTGCTAAATTGATGGAAATGCAATTTAATCATAGAGCTAAATGAATAAAGTAAGCACAGTTAAAAGCATTAAGGTTTACAAGACTGTAAAACTTGTAAAAGAAAAACAAAGATAAGTTTCTTTTAAAACAAAAAAGGATAGTATCTGAGAGAAGTTAAATAAAATCATTGATCCGAAAAGTTTATGATTATAAGAGATGAGACAAGAACAAAAACAAGAAGAAAAATGTTGGAAAAGATGAAGATAGATAACAAGTAAACAGAAATTAAATTTCTGACTATTTGATACAATTATTTTTATAAAGGAATTATATAATAATGAGGTCTACAAGTTTATAAAGAATCCATGAATTTTTGGAGATGTTTTCGATAATTATTCTACTCATTTATTTCATATATTTATTTAAAAATATGCATTTGCTTGAGATAATAGATCAAACAATGAATGAAGAATAAATCAAAATATATAATTCCGAGTACTAATGGATCACTATTTATTTTGTAAATGTTTTGGAATAACCTTAAATTGAATTTAGTCTTCTTTTCTATAAAGTTAAACAGCAATTCATTATTCATTTTTAACATTTAATTATAGTTATTTGAAAATATATCTTATTTATTACTTTCACTTCGTTTTTTTGGCAAAAAAATTAATTAAATTTAACACTTTAAGCTTTAGAATTTGTAATTAATTGATATTTAAATATCTAAATATTTCGAATTAAAGATTTAAATACTATTTAGCTGCAGAATTTTTAAATTGGCCTTAAATTAAACTTCCATACTTTTATAATATCACTCTTTTTCCTAAAGTTTTATATTCGACATTTGAATCATTTCTAATTATAAATTAATGGAATTTTGCTGTCATTATTTGAGTATTTCATTCCAAACGAATCCTGTTTAATAAACATGATAAGAACTAGCCTGATTTTCCTCAATTTAAGCGGAAAACCGCAATCATCACGATCAGAACACCATTCTGAAATTGCGTGTTTTATATATGTTAAGGACAATGGTTGTGAACAAAAGAACGATCAGAGAGTGTCCAGGTTTAGGTGACTGTCACGGAAAGAGATCCTTTTTCAAAGAAGAATTTGGGTGAAAGACCTACCCAAGTCATATCCGGTCGGTTAGCAGAGGGTGTGACCAAAATCCTGAAAAGAAACTTCTGTGCTATACAAACAACGCATTCAACCGCGTACCTCGCATTGAAAGAAAACATAATATTATAAATATAGTAACTTTTCTATATGATGTCGCAGGAGTGGTTTACAAAGTATCGTGCGATTGTTTGCAAGCGAAATCATATGTTGTAGAAACGGGACGGAGGCTCGAGACACGCCTAAAAGAACACGTGGCAGCGATTCATCTAAAAAGACAAGAGTCACCGTGGTATCAACACTGTAGTACAGTAGAACCTCGATTATCCGCCCCCCGATCAACCGACCCCTCGGTTAACCGACCGTCCTAGTCGGCAAATTTCAAATGTCCGCTAGTGATGTGGCGCTACAATAGCGACGATTATTATTTTAAAAAATTTTTGTTAGGCACAACATTNATATATATATTTAGCAAGTTGAATTCTTAATACATTTATATGAATTTTTACTCTTAAACGTTTATACTGTATTTTAATTTTAGCTTGTATATAGTGCATATTCATTTTTATTTTTTGTAAATAATGATTTTAGAAGCGACCTTGAAATGATTTTGAGAAAGACGTGATTTTCTCCATTGAATGCAGCTGATTATCGAGTGCAGTTACTCCTTAAATCAATTCGATCAACAGTCTTTGATGGTGAACTCCGAATCGATTATATGTCATACGAATCAGCTATCATTCCCATCTCAACGCGTTAGAAAAACTGTAATTCTTATTACAGAAAATATTCTTTCAAATTTTCCTATCAATAATCAATATATATATATTAATAATTTCGGCTTTGTTATTTATCTTTAAGCGTGTAAAATGAATAGTTTCTGATACTTTCTCAAACGGTAGGACTATATCGAAACTACTAAGGAATGCCCAGAAATAGCAACACTCCAGTGATGGCAAGCAGAGTCCAGCAAGACTACAGCAATGTTTATTTTTCTAGTTCCAGGAATTGCAACATGACGTGCATAGAGTCGTTTAGGTAGAAGTCTTTTGTCTCTATAATTCAGATTTTGATCATTTTTAAAAAAGTATATATATATTACAAAATTTGTAAGATTTCTTGATGCTTATTTTTAATTAGTCTATTTGTTCTACAAGACTTTTAAAGTTATGGTTACAATTCGTTTTATTACACGTGTATAAACTAATTTCCTAATTTTAATTAAATCGAACTCGGTCATTATAAAGGCCTAAAGTGAATTAAGCGGTTTAAACTTGTAATTATCAGAACTGATGATTATTAACTGTTACGTTCCGGTTTTAATGTGTAGAAAAAACAACTTAAGCTACAGTTTTGATTCAGAGCATGAACACTTTTTATCTACGTATTTATGAATAATAATATGTAGGATGAGCTAAACGAGAGAGAACTCGTTTCGCTTGGTTAATTTGCAATAGCAGAAGCTTCGGAAAGCAATCGTGTGTTTATACTTCTAGAACACGCGACTACTTCATTTAACTTTCTCGTTCATTTTCAATCCTCAAATTTTTGCATAAGTTATAAAAAAAAGTATTGCTTTAAAGAAGTTTTTCGATGCATATAAAGGTATCGAAATATGATTCACAGGGAAAAAAGTATTATGAATCACTTCAATTTTGCGTAGAAATTCTATACGGACGAGATTTTTTGATTACTCTTAAATTTAATGCTTAACTACAGCACAGATTAAATAATTATTAGGTATTTAAACTCCATTATCTGTAATCAACAGGTGTGAAGAGGATGGAGGTCATCTGACTCCCATAAAAAAAAAAAAAAAACGATTTTTATTTTTAGCAATAAATAGTTTTTTTTACATAGATTTAGTTTTTATGTTTATGCGTCGTTTATGCTATTCGTCAAATATTTCCTCCGTGTTTAACTAACTAATACAGAGGAAAAGTATTTTTAAAGGTTATTTTATATTAAGTTAGTTTAGTCAAACAAAACGATAAGTTCACTTTATTTTACTCGATAAGAATTCAGTTTTTTAATGATCGGCTGAATTAATCGTAAATTATCGTAAAAATCATATTTATATGTTAACGATAACAGTATATTTTTAATCATTTTTATTTGACAAAGTCAAAAGTTTGGTCGTCCTTCACCCTGCAGGGACCTCTTGTATTCTAGTGACGTCAGGACGTCGTTACAACGACTAAACTTGATTACAAATACGTCCTATATTCCTGTTCAAAACAACACAATATAAATAATTAAATAAAACACGTTTAGTAAATATAATTTTATAAAATGTATTCGATTCATTCTTCAAATTTAAAAATTAAAAAAAAAAAATTGTATTTTAAAGTATTCTGCACAAAATAATTTTATTTTTAAGACAGTTTTTATAGACTATTTTCGGTTTTTTTCCTTCTCTTATTTTTGCATGGAAATATTTTTATTTATAATGTTAATTGATGTTTTTGGAATTGACTGAACCTTCCAATAATTCCTTCAGTACTTCCTTCACTGGTATTTCCTCTATAAATAATCAACCCATGTCATTGTAGAATCTTTTATAGAGTGTTATCAGATTTGCTGTTTCTGTCACTTTATTCCCGACAAATTAAATTGAAGAATGTTTATTTCTACGGAAGTCTTAATTAATTCATAGCAGAAAATTAATTAATTAATTCATGCGGTGTTTTCATAAGTGTAAATGGATTATGAGAAAAATGCGGCTAGTAACGTAAAAATATTAATATTCTGTATTTACAGGTTATAGTTCGAAATTTTATGTGTTTTTCTGCTAGGAAAACGCTTTTTGATGGATCAAACAGGTGGTCGGCGACACCTGTGTTTACCTGACTGACTTAAAATTTCCACAATGCACGTAACAGAGCACAACAGTTGCTCTGCTGTGGCGAAGACAATTATTGATCTACGGCGGTAGTAGATCGGTCATCGCAGACCGCTAATGCTACTTAAATTCCATTTATAGTTACATAGTTTTAAACTCTATCGTTGTTTCATTATTATTTTTTTCCCTCCTATATTATATTGTGAGTCATCAGGGCGTCACAATGACAGGAAGTAACGTTACGTAAGCACTAAACGCGTACGTAAAAGTTGCAGCGAGCGAAAGTGCTCCACTGGTCTCACCCGGTTGGTTGAAAATCAACAGTGTAGAGGTAGTTGCTGCTATCAGCCAACAGCGATCTAGGAGCCTGGCTAGGAGAGTATTCAGCAACAGCTGAACACCAGTCTACTGAGCGGTTAGCTTTTTTCTCTCTTGGCTGAGGTGGTGCCTACTTCCCCTGAACTGTCACTTCACCCTTGATCTCCTATCTATAAGCCGATATTTTCTTTTTTTTGCTTCAGTAACAAGCCGGGACTGTACTTTCAAATGGTGAGTTGATAATTTTTATTATATGCAGAAAATTACAATATGGCATATTGTGGAATTAACTTAGAGGGCTTTGTTGCCAGTCGCCTTTTCGATGTGGGTTAGTAGACATGGTTTGTCATACCATAACACCAATTACCCCGGAGGATGGAATGATTTTAGCATGCGCAATTCTAAAAGAAACGTATGCGCTGGAGAAGTATATATTCGCCGTTGCTCGATAGGAAATTACAGTGTATAAGCGATTGACCATATGGTTTGGGAGAGATGACAGGTCGCTTGATCACGTGGCATAGCGTGTAGGAGTAAAGGTTCTCGCAATTGGACGCTAAGACTGTTTTTTTACTTATACCCGGAACTAGAAAATTAACATTCTTGATCGTTGAGTGATGGTATTTTAATAGTCAGATGGACTGCGTAGCACATAATAAAAATGAAATTAAAGAAGGATGAATATAATTCTGATGTGGTTTTGCAAACTTTTTATTTGTTTGTTTTTTTTAATAATCACGAATGAACATTTCCGTGGACAGTCTGCAATGCCAGACACATCGCCCATTAATGAAACAAACTAATGCAGTGGAGAGCGATTCTTCAGTGAATTATTCAGTTAAACGACTCCGGTAATTCGAAATAGCATGATATGTAGTTGTTTGCGTTGGGATAACACTATACAGAAACTGCGCGCCCATCCTTGTCGAAGTTATTCGTTTCAATGAAATATTAAACAGCTCGCTAGCATGACGAAGTGATATTTTCCAATACTTTTATGGTTAAAAAAATTAAAAATAGACAGACCAACTTGTCCTTCATTGAAATTTCATATCAAAAGACTATTTCTCTTAGCTTTTAGAATGCACGTGGGTGTTCTCGTTTGTCTTCGCTCATCTGGACAAGATGAGTAGGCCCTACCTGTTGCGCTCGTGATGCGAAATGGAGGGCAGGGCATGCGTGACAGGAACGTCTTTGGAATTTCAACTTGCTTGCCAAAACCTACACCGTTCTAAATTGTTTTTATAGCCTTCGGGAAACTACCAAAAACCATTTTCCCAACTGTTTTGTTCATTGCTGTTTGCAACTCGATCTACTTGTGAATGCAAAACCGATCTGTTTGGCCTCGATATTATTTGCCCTAGACTTGTATACTTTATATTATATTAGAAGTACCTCAATACAGCATTAGCAAAGAGGGACTGCGAGGAAATGTCTCTTGTTCGCCATTCCCTATTCTCTGGCGTCTCTGTCTCTCTCCCATACGGGGCCCACTCTGTCAGCCAGGTGGAGAAGCAAACAATGCTTTTTGAATGAATGGAATTTTCTAGTCTCGTTTCAACTAGACTCATTGTCAAATTATAGTTTTCTTAGTACCTTTAGTTCAAAATTAAAATAAAACTAGGTTTTCATTCGTTAGTTATAGGCTACGTGATTTTCTACATTTTTCTTTTTGTGTTCTTTTCAGTTCTCTCCATTGTTTATAGTTAACCATTTTCAATTGGACTGAAACAAAAACGTAATAATATAAACTCAAATCAAAACAGCTTAGGTTTTAGGAATTTGACCAGCCTTTTCTTTCTTTTGCTCCTTGACTAGTTACCGGATCTTATTACGTCTACAAGTGTTTCTATGCATATATATTATAGCTTCATTTACAGTCCTATTTCGAAGAAAAAGTTAAGAAAAAAGAACAACAACATTCTTTAAAGTACAGATCACATTAATAACAACATACATCAAATATTCTTTAAGTTATATTCTCCCTTATTCAACAGTTTACATATTAGTAACTTTTAATAGACTAATAATTTTGTTCTCATTGAAAGTATAAAGAATATTACTGAATAATTTATTTACTGACTTACTCTATGTTTACTGATAGATCTATTTCTAAATAAAAAGTAATGAATAAATATTATTTGTTAAATAAACTTGTAAAGGTAAAGATAGAATAAAAACTGAGGAATAAGGAAGGCTTATAAGCTGGTTATATTAAAATTTTCTAGATCTTACAAATATATATCGAATATTTTTGATGTGTCTTTAATATTTTATTATTATTAAAATAGTACGTTGATTTATCAAATACACCTGTTAAATATCCAGTTTATTTTTTACTTTTTATATTCATTAACCTGCAACAAAGATGGCCTCTGTCTGCGGTCGAGAGAGTTGGATACTAAAAAAAAAAGTTGTTGAGGCAGAGCCATTTTGTGTCCTTGAACTTTATTATATGGATATGTGTATAAGAATCCAGGAACAGTAACAGAAATAATATTTTATGAAAAGTATAAAAGTCTAAAATTCGTACACATTTATGAATATTGTAATCATTTCGCATAGTTTTTTAAAATAATATTTGTTTTTATTATGTATATTTTCCATCTGTTTCTGTCTATGTAGTAAATACAAACATATACTATATTTATTTGAAAAGTATTGAAAGTTAATGTCAATTTATGATTATTTTCCATAACAGGTAGCGTGTTAAGTGATGATTTGTTTAGACAGAAATATTGATTTCACTCTATGATTCACATGAGAGTAATAAGATATGTTATGACCTAAAATATACTGAATTTGATTTTAAGCTTTATCCATATCACAAGAATTACTTATTAAAGTATCAGATTTTCCAAATAAAAGCTTTATAATCTTAAAAACTTTCATTTCGTATCCATTAAAAAATCGATTTTAATCAAAATATTTTTATTTATTCTATTCAGGTATCATACTTTTCTCTTCTTCTCATTTAAATTTTTAATTAATGAGCAAAATATATTTTTTATCCCATCAAACAAATCTTGTTTAAAATTTGTTTCTTTATATACTTTACAAATTAAAATTTAAAATTATGTTGCAAAACATTCCGAAGATCGTGTCAACAGATTATTATGCA